AAATGTAGCTAGACATCTCTAGTTCAATTTGAGGGACCAAAACCATCAAACTAGCTCCGGATTCTATGCTTTGGGGTCTCATTGTTTGTGTTGGTAGCCCTGTTCTGGTTTCTTATGGTGTAGCCGTGTAGCCAGACAATACTCCTTTGTTTTTTTCTTTTCTTTTGTTAGGTTTAGAGAGCCATAAGAGCGGGAGTAGAAATCGATAGTAGGATTTCCTGAAACTGAGAGGGAAGCCGTAGTTAATCACTTATTTTGTCTTCATAATTGTAATTTGTACCCTAAAATCCTAGTTATGGCCTTGTGAAGATGTGAGTTGTGACTATGTTAGGCTTAGTTTTTTTTTGGAAACAATATTAGGCTTAGTTTATCTAGTATACATTAATGTAATTATGTCTGATCTATTGTATTTTGTTTAATGGAAACTAGGTTTGATGTGTCTGATGCACGATTTTTTTTATTTTTTTTTATAATATATATCAAACATTTTATATGTTGATTTTGTTTAGCTTAATTCTTGAATTATATAAAATAGATTTTTTTTGTAAGCAAAGATAATACGAGTAGATTTATTTATTGTAAAGTTCAAAATGTTTTTATTAGCTTGTTCAATTAAAAATGTGGCGCCTCATCCTTCCCGCTAACTCTCAATCAAATAAAAATTTAAGAGCCCAAATCTGTCTTACATCCATGTCATCAATCCTAAGAAAAGCTAAACAACCAATCAAACATCGCCACGTCCTTAAAACCTCCTTTTAATTTCATCCGTCAGATCAAAATTTATAACAATAAAAAATCAACGCATTTCCAAAAGCCACATCAGCAATCCGTGCCTTCCCACCTCCTCCAATAAAATCAAACCATTCTTCCCTATAAATACAAATCACAACTCCAATCATTTCTTCATCACACAACAAATATATTTCTCTCTCTCTCTAAAAAACAATCAAATCCAAAAAACTTCAAAGCTTTCTCTCTCATCTAATCAATGGCGCCCAAAGCTGAGAAGAAGCCCGCCGAGAAGGCCGCCGCCGCCGAGAAAGCTCCGGCAGAGAAGAAGCCAAAAGCCGGGAAGAAGCTCCCAAAGGAGGCCGGAGCAGCTGCCGGAGACAAGAAGAAGAAGCGACACAAGAAGAGCGTCGAAACCTACAAGATCTACATCTTCAAGGTTCTCAAGCAGGTTCATCCTGATATCGGAATTTCCAGCAAGGCGATGAGTATCATGAACAGCTTCATCAATGATATCTTCGAGAAGCTTGCTCAGGAATCTGCTAGACTTGCAAGGTACAATAAGAAGCCGACGATTACTTCTCGCGAGATTCAGACTGCTGTGAGACTTGTTCTTCCTGGTGAATTGGCTAAGCATGCTGTTTCTGAGGGTACTAAGGCTGTTACTAAGTTTACTAGCTCTTAATTTTTAGGTTTTTAATTGTGAGTTTTAGGGATTAGGGTTTGGTTGTTGAAATTTGGAATTGAATTATGGTGGTTATTATGTAACTAAATCTTACGAATTAATGGAAATGCTTTTGTGAAATCTCTGTGTTATTTGATTTTTTTCGTTTTTGGTGTTTCAATTTCTAATAATTTGTATTTGAATTGTTTTGACATATTCTGCAATTTCTTTGTGAATCATTTTAGTGATTGTTTTTATCTCAATTTAACATTGATGTGTTAATTCAGTGTTGATAACCATTATTTAAAATTTTTTGTACTTTCAATGTTTTTGGAACTGTTGAATTATAACTTACCAATTTCTAATAAGACATTATGATTATTGTGGATTTCAAGTATGTCTGAGATCAGTATTATCAAGTCTTTGTATCTGATTCCAATTGCTTCTTTTTCCAAGGATGTATTCTTTCAAATGTAAAACTATGTTTGAAGGTTTAATGCTGCAGATTTGGATGTCATTGTATGTTTTGGTAGCCCTGTTTCTGTTCCTAATGGTGTAGTCTGTGGCATGATACTCCTCTGTTGTTCTTTGCTTTAGGGCCTATTATTGCTAGAACGTATTCTTTAGTTAATAATGTACTCTCCATGATTCATTGATTTGTATGTTGATAATCCACTTGTCGGGTTAATTGCTTGCTTATTTTGTTCTAAGAACTCGGTTTATTGTATGCTGAAAATCTAGATTTTAGGCTTGTTCATCTTAATTACAATACTAACATGATGTTATGCCTCTTACGGAGTACTAATCTTAGAAGTGCTTAAGGCTATTGTGACTAGCAAGCAAAAAAATACATGTTGAGTGCATAATCCAATAATTGTTTTTATAGAAAAAACTTGTATTCAAGAAACTTGCAAAGATATTTGCTTAGGAAATGTGATTATGTGAAAGTAGACCCGATCAAAGTTGGCCTAGCTCAAGGACTTAGCTTGTGGAGCTAGAGAGTCTTCTATGCTTTGAAGAAAAGGATTGTGGAGCTAGCTTCTCTCATTGCTCTTTCTCGTGGGTTAGACGGACAACGAATCAAGTGACTCATCTGGCTCATCATATGGTGCGTTTGAGTAGGGTTTTAATGATTTTCGTGTTTGGCTTTATCCGATGCAATTCAGGCTTATATAAACTTTGATAACGCTAATTGATTTTATGCTTGCTTTTCCCTTCTCAAAAAAAAAAAAAAAAAGAAGTTGGCCCAGCTTGAAAAATGATGGGTTTTGGCAAAATTTTGGGCCCACAACTCAATTTGGAATTTGGCTAACGCAAAATTACAATTTAGTTAAACATTAGGCCCAAATTGATTTTCGTTCGAACGAAAAGCCACTAATTTTTTGCCAGTATTAGAAGGATTGTGCAAAGATTTTAGCTCGAAAAAGTTAAGCCTAAAATGGCCCCTTTGTTTTTTCGGTTAAAAGCGCGGCCCAACCTATGATCTCATCTATGTGAAAAGCTTACTTTGTTTTTCACTCTTTAATTTTGAGGATAGCGTTTTGTCTAGGATATCAAAATTTTATCTTGTTTAAATATGAGGAATATATATATAGCTAATAAATTTTTCGAGACGTTGAATAAAAAATAGGAACATTAATGCTCCATATCATATCTATTAATTATTAGTAAAACAAAACATGTTGATATCATTAGGGGACACATGTCAATTCCTTATTAAAAATTTTCTCGCCTAAACTATTTTTGACATCATCTTTTTTTTTTTTTTTTTTTTTTTCTCTTCCTATATTCCAAAACTAAATAAATACGGTGTTTCTTTCAAAATTAACTAGCTTTTGGGCTCGTACGACGTACGGGCTTATTATAAGGATATTATATTTTAGTTTTATATGTATTTGAATATTGAGCATAATACACCGTAAATTTGATAATGTTTCCTCTCAACATACAATTGATATAGTAAAAAAGAGTGAATTTGATAATGAAGTAACTTTGTTATATTGTGTTAGAATTGCATAAATTATTTTGGAGATGTATCATAATACCAATAAATAAATTATTTTGGGGGTAAAGTGTAACCGAAAACTTGATTAAAGATATTAATCGGTAATTTAATTCGAAGTGAAGCTAGATGAAGGAGTAGGAAGGTTGAGCCGGATTAATGCTAAAATTAAAGAGAGAATTGGAGAAGTTGAAGCTATCAATCAATTACATACTACTAAAAGCGAATTTGAAGGAACACTTGGCAACATATTATAAAAAAAATTCCCGCCAAAATTACTTTCTAAAAAAATCGTTATTATATAAAAATAAAGATTGCATTTAGATTATGACTTTTTTTTTTTTATATAAATTCTAAAATAAACTTCCTAAAATATCAACTTGCACATTATAACTATAAATATTTTCTCTCACATGTTTTAATTGTTTTATTATATTTCATGCACTTTAATACCTGATGAATCGATTCATTAATTTTTATATAATTATATTATTATCATAATTATTCAACAATTGCGCATTTGTACGGGGTTTAACCTAGTACTAAATTAAAGAGAGATATGGAAAGGCTTGCTGGAGTGAAAAGATGAATTGAGTCGTACTACCTTGGTTTGGATTTTTGTGGTTCTCTTATATAAGAAGACACGTGGCCTGGCTTTCTTGGGTTGCAATAGAAATGACGGAGAAATGTAGTAGGATGATGACACGTGGCTCACTTGGATTTTTGTGGTTAATTTTTTTTTTTTAGGAATAGCAAAAATATTTCATTAATTAAAAGTCATATGACATCTACAATAGAGATTCGACGTTAACAAATACATAAGATATTGAATCAAATAGAATTTTCCTTCATAAAAACTACGATCGTCGAGTAGATCTTGCACGGCAGAGCATCTCCCGCTTATATCGCTGAAAATTACATCCTTGTTGGAGAGACAATCTAACGATCCTTTGTAGCCGTGAGAATGTTTTCCTTCTGATTCATCTGTTCGTATTCGAAAACTTGATAACTTTTTCACCAACAAAATAATTGCACGACAATCCATTAGATCTGTTACCATGGATTCAAAACTAAGAAATTTCTCCCTCGAAAAGAGGAGATAAACCTTGTCTTTTGAAAGAGGTCGAAAAACCCTTGTCTTTTGAAGGAGATCGGAAACCGTTTCTTTCGAGGGAGAAAAGTTCCTCCCAAAAGGAGGAATCATTATTATAAACCTAAAAAAACAATAAAGAAACAAGGATTGGGGCTTTCCACCGATTAAAATCGATGGAAGTCCCTTCAAAATTCAACAATGGAGCCTAGGGTTTTGGAGAGAGGAAGGAGGAGAGAGAAAGGATTTGAGAGATTTTTTTTATTAACTTTTTATGGTCTAAATTGATCATGCTAAACCTAACTATGATTGCAAAATTTTGTGATTAAATACTAATTATAGATTAATGAGATTATGTTTTTTTTTTTTTTAAATATAAATTTGCCAATTATTTATACAAATAATGGTTACTTAATCTGTGCAACGCATATGACTAAGGGAAATATTTCAAAGGGTTATCCAAAGCCCTAAAAATTCGTGTTTTTTAGTTGTGAATCTTTTGATCGAGTAACTTTCTCAATTTAGAGCTCTCATTATAAAACAACTTCTTACTCTTTCACTTTGGAGGTTCTCAATTTCTTTCTCTGCAAGTCTTAAAAAATATTCATCTCCTTCACTTTCTCTCTCATCGGAAATCTCCTGCAGAACTCTCTCTAATGTCGACCGAAGAAGAGGTTAAACGTAAGGCCGCCATTGCCGAGTACAATAAGAAGCTCCTTCAACATCGGGAGCTTGAATCTCGCAGCAGGAAAGGTTTTACATTCTAAATCCCTAATTTTGCTCAATTAATTTCTACTTTTATCAATTTTAGGGTTTTTAATTTGTTCCTAGTTTTTCGTTCTTTTTCTGTGTTTGTTTTGCATTTACGACAGCGAAATTTTATGAATTTATATCTAATTTGGCCCCGAAGCAGTGAAATTGGATGAATTTGTTGTCGTAGTTGTTAGATTATGAGGTGAGAATGCATTATCTAGTTAAATCGAAGTGGAATTTGACAGATTTGGGTTTAATTTTCGATCTTAGGTTTGAATTTGTGGAATGTTATATAGTTATGTGATTCCTGGCAATTTTTTCCTTTTATAATCAAGATTCTAGTGTAAGTGACAGAGATTGTTCGTTTTAGGAGAAATTTAAGTGAATTTCTGTAGTTTATTAGTTTATGTAAAGCTTACTTCTGGCTGAATAAAATTTTTTAGCTTATGCTAGGGCTTGAATCTTTATTATATATAATATGAATATGTGCTGCCAATATGCAATAAGAACCTGCCTAGCAAGAAGACTGATTTTTTGCTAAGTCTAAGTCTAAGCTAAGCTGTTTGCATGAATGCCTGATCAGCACTTAAAACTAGCCTCTAGAGAATAACTTGGTGCTTCTTGAAGCACTTTATCTCCATCCATAATTCCATGTGAGTGAAGTTGTTTATAACGTGATTATGTGTACGGAAAAGTTTCAGAGTTTTCAGCACTACGGGATGCACTTAGGGGCCATAAAAGGTTGTATGGAACCATATAAGTCGACTAGTTAGTCATATAAAGGATTAGGAGGTCCTTGAGTCAATGATGGGAGATGTGTTTGAAAAACCGATTAAATTAATGGCTAAGAGGTGAAATTGATGGTTTCAACCACCCAAGTGGCCTCATTTGGTGTCATGGGGTCTATGAAAAACTCCTTGACTTCTAACCTTTTTGAGTCTAAAGAGCCCAAAATTCTCAAAGAATAAAGGTTATAATACACGCTTTTTGTACAATTTTGAGAAAATACTCCGGAAGTCAGGTGGAGGTATCCCAGGGTCATAAATGTTGGTTTGGAAGAATTGGAACAATACATAACATGTTAGTTGGGTTTAAAGTCTTGAGAATGAGTTTTATTCTAATGGCGTGGTTATTTAATTGGTTTCATTGGAAGTCAAGAATTGATTTCAATCTTCAACAATGACTCGTGAAGGTATTGAGAATCCTTCTGTGGCTTTATTACACCTTGTTCTTGGTTGATGTCGGTTCACATTTGTGTTGTTACACCACTTTCTTCATTGGCCTCTTCTTTGAAGCTGTAGTGAATCCTTGGGATGCCATGGTCACTTAACCTTGTTAAGTCAATTGGCAATTCAAAATTGTATGAAACTAGTCTTTTGGCCAAGTTACATAAATTCATGAATGGGGCTTCAGTAAGCTTTAAGTGAACAACCAATTTGTGCTCGTTGCTTTCACTTTTTTTTTTTTTTTTTTTTTTTTTGGTTCTTGTTTTGGTGGGACTGTGGGATTTTGTTCAGTGTAAACTGCATGCCTTTGGCATTCTAATAAAATTTCCTTTATTTTTTTTATTTGTTGAAAACTGAAATTCAAACCAGTGCTTATTAAAATTATTTCAATAAGGGCATCTCAAAAGAAAAAAAAAAAAATTACAAACTTTATTTGTAGTGCCAATAGTGCTGAGTGCTGGTTTTATAAAATTGCCCTTTAGGTATTATGCTGGAAACTTACAGTTTTAACCCTTGCTTTTTAAATAACTGAACAAGTGTAATGTGGAAAAAACACAAGTTTCATCAATTTTTTGACAATTGTTTATAAAATGTAAGATGCCCTGAAATCTTTTTCAAAACTTCAATTAGTGGCTTTGAGTCTTAGTTATCACTATGAAAAATACCAGAAATTACAGTGAGCCAGCAAGGAGGTTTCAAAGAGGTCAGAGGAGGTTGAGTTGTGTGTACCTTTTCATATAGAAAGGTTGCTTGGGGTTTTTATGCATGTTAATATTTTACTGCAGATCAATTGTGCTGTCATTTTGTTTTGTTATGTTCCTGGGTTTTTGGCTGTTGCTAACACATTGGAAATCTATATTCTCAGTGAAGGAGGAGCTGCGAAGTGCAAAAAAGGAGTACACTAAAACAGAGGATGATCTAAAGTCGCTTCAGAGTGTTGGACAGATCATTGGAGAAGTCCTTAGACCCCTTGACAATGAAAGATGTAATTAATCTCTTTATCTCTTCTTGTCTGTTTTACTACCAATGCTGGTTGTGTTTAATGGTTTATAGTTTTCTGGTTTATTGCCTTATGGCACCTAGGGCTTGTTGTTTTTCTGCCAGTATATTACTTCTTGATAAGATAAGTGAGAATTTCTTCCATTATTAGCAGGATTAGAGTTGTGTTAATTCCACTGAGTTGTCCATGTGTTTTGTATGCTTAGTAGAAGGCTTTTTGATATTATATATTTTATTTAGTTATTATTTTTTCAAGGATCGTTAGTGAAGAAAATGCTTTTGTTCTGTTCAGTCTCCTTTTTACATCATATTTTTCTATTTACCCAACTGTTGTAACTTGTAAGTGTACATATAATGTCAAATTGTCAACCACCTTTTTGCCACATCACTTTTTCTTTCATCACCTAGTACCGAACATATTCAATCTTATAGGTAACTGAGCAATGTGTTTATGTGTGCCAGTAATTGTGAAAGCTAGCAGTGGACCAAGGTATGTGGTTGGTTGTCGTAGCAAAGTGGACAAGGAAAAGCTAACTTCTGGAACACGAGTGGTACTTGACATGACTACCCTCACCATTATGCGTGCTCTTCCACGTGAAGTAAGTTTCACTTCTCTTATGCTGTCTCTTTTATTCTACTTCGCATCTGAATCTGAGTTAGTGTTATTTTTCTTAATTATGCTTAAGCTTATGCATTAGAGAACAAATTTTAATGTCTTTGCCAGCTATGTTAGGCAGGGATTTGCATTTATCTGTATTGGAATTGGTTTATTATATCTTTTATGGTAGGTCAAACCATAAATCAAGAATAGTGAAAGATTTTAGCTTATCAGAAGTTAAATGATTCCTTTAGGAAGGTTTTGTCCAATTCAATAAACTGAGTGTTGTGAACCTGTGATTAAAATGGCAGTGTTGCAGACATCTTGAGTAAGTGACTAGTCTTAGCATCCTCTACGAGTTTCTGCAAAGGTCTCTAAAATTACTGGTCTTGCCTCATGATGTGAGCACTGAGCAGCATCCTCTGCAGATGTACATGTATGGTTGATTGGTTGGGGATTAGGTAGGAAGTTTGCACAAGATGTCTCTGACTCCTTGCAGCTTTAGGGGGTGCATGTGCTATACTTAATGGATTCACCTTTTTATTTTATTAGGATTATGTACATTAGTAGTTATTGTGTACACACAAACCTACAATGTCAAAGACAGGAACCTATATGAATGTACTCACATGCCCATTTGGGATTCTATGTTTCTGGTTTTATATCAGTGAGAATTTATTGGTGAATCTGTTGGAGCTACTGAAGGAAAATATTTGTGATCTTCTCTGCATTAGAAGCCTATCTTCTATGAGGATTCTCAACTAGCATCACTAAGTATTATGCTAAAAGAATCCATTCCTTCAGGATGCTTCTATGAGGATTCTCAACTAGCATCACTAAGTATCTTGTTTATTTCAGAAAGATTCATTCTTTTGGATGCTTCTTTATTTCTTTCAGTCTTTGTCTGCGTTAGGGCACTTTCCTTATTAAGCTATGTATTTCATGGAGTTGAACACATAAGTAGATTAGTTCAATATACTAGTATATTTTACTCAGACTTAACCAGAGAACACTTAATCTTACCCAAATTATATGACACAGAGTAGCTTTATCAGAATTTCTCTGTGCCCTCTCCCAAAAATGGCTTTGTTTCAAATGGTACATGTATAGACTTAAATGTGGCTATCCCAACAGTTTAATTGGATCCAAAGAAGATGCTTTAGTTTGCAAAGCACTATTTAACAATGTAATGCTTGTACTTTTAAAGTGAGAATGCAGTATTGTAGCTTTAAAACATGGTAGAAACCTTTTTTTTTTTCCACAATGAGATGTGTTACTTGGTCACGCTGTTTTGGCCACTGTACTTTGGTTAATAAGACCTGACACCGATCCAGGTACGAATGCATCAGCTGGCAACATGAAAAGAAGAAAGATTTTGGGCATTTAGTCTTGTTGGACGTTATATTCTTCATTTCCATCTTTTCCATACTTTCTCTCATCACGTCTTTTTCTTTCCTTTTAACCTTTTTGGGCTTTAGGCCTGGCCCCACTGTAGCTGCTTATTGAACCCAGCAGAATTAACTAAAGCAAACTTTAAACAATTTAACAACGCACACAACTTTTATAAAAATATATAATGATAATACAAAAATCTCAAAATCTAGGAGGACTAGGATGGTGTCCTTGTATCCTAAAGTTTCAGAACTGTTGTACCGGACACTGAGATAAGGACTCGTAATCAATAATCTTACCCTAGTCCATGGAACATAGGCTGTGAAATACCATAGTTCTGCTTGCCTTTTCACTTTGTGGAATTGTATTATGTTCTCATATCTTTCATTTACAGGTTGATCCAGTTGTATATAATATGCTTCATGAAGATCCTGGGAATATCAGCTATTCTGCTGTAGGAGGGTTGTCTGATCAAATCCGGGAACTGAGGGAATCCATTGAGCTCCCATTAATGAATCCCGAGCTTTTCATTCGGGTGGGAATTAAACCTCCAAAGGTACGGACATTTGTGTGGGACTCTACTTTGTTAATTTGTGTCCTTTTTATGTGTTTTTCATGTTTTGGTTCCTTTTGTTGCTATGTGCTGGGTTGAAACAAAGTTTTTTGTTTATACTTTCCTGTACAGGGTGTTCTTCTCTATGGGCCTCCAGGAACTGGCAAGACATTGTTAGCTCGAGCTATAGCTAGTAATATAGATGCAAATTTCCTTAAGGTATCAAAGAATATGCCATTTATCCTCAAAAACCTTGATTCATTTGTTAGATGCTAACGTGTTAATAACTGTTATTTCTTCTTTATTTTACAGGTGGTATCGAGTGCTATCATAGATAAGTACATTGGTGAAAGTGCAAGACTGATCCGTGAAATGTTTAATTATGCTAGAGAACACCAGGTGGGATAAACAGCATTTAATGTATTAGTCACTATTTAGGATACTGGTTAAATGGTCTCTTATAGTTTGTTTCTGTTCTCAGCCCTGCATCATCTTCATGGACGAGATTGATGCCATAGGAGGTCGTCGATTCAGTGAGGGCACAAGTGCTGACCGTGAAATTCAGAGAACCCTCATGGAATTGCTGAATCAACTAGATGGATTTGATCAACTAGGCAAGGTATTCTGACTGAAACAAAACTGTGGAGTAATCTTGTTATGTTGGTGCATTGTAGTTTATCGATTTATTTGGGAGTTTGGGACCTCTTTGACCACATTTGTAAATTGTAACTGCAGGTGAAAATGATCATGGCAACAAACAGGCCAGATGTGCTGGACCCAGCACTTCTCCGTCCTGGGCGTCTGGATAGGAAGATAGAGATTCCATTGCCAAATGAACAGTCGAGAATGGAAATTCTCAAAATTCATGCTGCTGGCATTGCCAAACATGGTGAGATCGACTATGAAGCAGTCGTCAAGCTAGCAGAGGTGATCTTCTAATTCGTAGAGATTTGCATATCTTTCTTTGATACCACACCTGAATCTAAGTGTTAAATATGCTTGTTTTTTTTTTCAGGGATTTAATGGGGCTGATCTACGGAACGTTTGTACTGAAGCTGGCATGTCAGCTATACGCGCTGAGAGAGATTATGTGATTCATGAAGACTTCATGAAGGTAAAGTTTTCACTTATGGAGCATTAAATATCAGAGCTCACCTTTGAGTATATACACCCTAGTGCAGAAGAGAGGAGTGATAAGCAAGCACAATAAATTTGAACTTTCACTTTCGTTATGCACTCTCCACTAAGCTGTCAATCTCGTTATATGGCTAAAATGATGAAATCAGTAAAATAATTTCGTTGCAATATGACCTTTAACGTGGAATTGTGAAGGTATTTTGATATTGAATTACTTATATGTTGTTTATTTGTTCTGCAGGCCGTGAGAAAGCTAAATGAAGCAAAAAAACTAGAGTCCAGTGCTACCTACTCTGCAGATTTTGGAAAGGATTAGTGAAATTTCTTATAGTTCTTTGTTGTATCATGGATTATTCAAGTTGCAACTACGGATTTTTTTTCAATGAACAATCGTTAGCTATACAACAAATCAACAATCGCTTGATTTGCTTCAACTCAAGTTCCTTTGTTATTTTTGTTAGGTTCGGATTACTTTTAAATATTTTCAAGTCTTCAATTATTAATGCTTATAAAATTATAATCCTTTCTATCTTAGACTCGATCATCTTCCCTGGCAAACATTCAAATTACTAGAGCCACTAAAAAGCCTGTTTGTATTGTAAAAGCTTCTATTGCTACAATATTCTTTAATGTTACATTTAACTATGTAATGATATGTCCCATACTCATATACAGTCAAATGTAAATTAACCAACAAATATTCCAATATTACGAAAAAATTGCATACTGATGCACCAAAGACACCAATCGTTTATTCCTACAGATTTCAGACTCACTCCCTTTAAAAACTTCTGCTTACTTGCAGTGGCTGTTTGTGAAAGTTGAAGGTGCTTTTTGTTATGTCTAATTCTCTATGATGTACAATGTAATATTTGAGGCAGGACAGACGGGAATTTCGTATATTGTAATACTCCTATAAAAACAGCCTAATGCTGCTGTAATATGCCGGCAGTTAAAAATTTCTGGTATTATTTGACATAATACGTAGTAGGATTCTTGGTCATCAGATGCAATGCCTACTATTTTTCGTTATTTTACTTGATAGAATAGGATTCTTGGTCCTGTGATGCAATGCTCAAAACCAAAGACTGTTTATGAAGTCTTTTCCTTTGCGTGCCCAGTTTTAACTTCAGCCAGTTTAAACGTGCTTTTTAAAAATCTCTAGAAGAAGGCAGCTTGGCTTTCATTGAGAATTTCTCCAACATAGCTTAGCTTAAAGTATCTGATAAAATCAAGTGATTAACTAGGGCTGTGACTGAGGTAAATTGGATAGTGTGCTCGACAATGCTCAAGCTGGAGCCTCAAGTAGAATCGAACGAGCCTTTGTCTGAATCTCACAGTGCCAACATAATAGATAGATCTTGCTAGTCAGCCGACTAATTAGTGTTCAAATATGTGGTAAACAGGTGCTCCTAAGCTGGTGTAATCTCTGTATAATCCCCTGTTTATGTGATGCCTCTCTCTGTGTTCACCCTCAAGAAAATGCTGCCTCTTATCAGTAACTGTTCCCGGTGCTCTGTGCTTACTTAAGAATATCATATGCATCCGAGTCATCGTAAAAATTCTACCAAATTGCTTTGTTAGTTGTGTTCCTTATTGTGTATAATTTAGTTAAGACTGATATACTCATCCCTGAAGGTCTGTTTCCTGCTACTGACGGCGAAGAAATTCTCTCCCAGCCAGCAACATAATGTCCGTGATGGTAGAAGTCTAGGTAGTGGTGGCGTTCATGATTGATCAAATTTGGTTCAGTTTTGTCCACTCCTGAGGGCCAAAATATTATTTCCTAGCAGCTCAGGTAAGTAAGGTCCGTAATGGTCGAAGTCTAGGTAATGGTGCCGCGGTAGCAATCCCTTGAAGATTCATCCGCTACTAGAGTTCCCGAGCAACATAGAGACGGTCCATAATGGTGTATTGGTATAGCATTAAGGGGTCACGGTGGCGATTCCCGAAGATTCATCCGCTACTACTGAAGAGTTCTAATTAAAACACAACAGAAGTGAAACAACAATTACAATGTACACAAATCATAGAGAGCGTTTTTATTACTGATCATACATACCATCATATGATATAGAATATCACAAGAAATTACATAAAATTTAGTTAGTACCAAGAAAGGAGCAGCCAAAAACTATGGGTTATAAATCTGATGATAGACTATAAATGGTAGTAATTATTTTTATGTTAGCAAAAACGGGTTATAGAACAAAAGACTTAAAACTAGAGTTACATTAGGTCATTAATATTGTACTATGATTATACATGAGAAAGTTGAGGAAGGAAAGTTCAAATCTTTCTTTAAGAAGCAGCAGCTAAAGGTGGTGGTAAAGGAGGAACTCCTTGGAAATGCGTCAATGGTATCGATGTGCTCGACTCGTTCGATTCCTCCTCGTCTTCCTCTTCCTCCGCATCCCAAAGGAAGTGCGCATACGATGCAAGAACATAACTGCAAGACGAAATAAATTCAATGACATAATGTTAGGTTCAAACAAACAAATAAAACTCCCTTTGTTCGGGATTAATAGTCACGTTGATAGTGTAATTTAAACGCGCAAAGGATTACTCACCAGTCATCAGGGGCTGCTTTGACAGCTTGATCAAAGTAACTCTCGGCCCTTGAAGAGTCTTTGTGAGTTTGCCAAATTAAATCAGCATAAAGTGATAGAACACTCCCATCGCTTGGATTTGCTAGTATTGCTCTTCCACAATATTCTTCTGCTTTTGCATAATCACCTTTTACCTGTTTCCAATCACAATTTCACAAATTAGCAAACACCACCACTAACAAACTTATCACTTTTAACTTTAAAGGTTGATTTCGGGTTTTGATACATTACTAAGTCGATAAAAATCTTGGATGAGATGATCTCACAATAACTAACGACTCTCACACTAGATCTACTCATCTACATACTAGTAGTAACAAACAATTGGGAGGGGACTGGAACCTAACCACCCAGAACTGATCCCCGAATTCGGATTAGCCCAAAGGGTGAACCGGGTAGAACACCGGAAAAAAAAAAAAAAAAAAAAACATACTAGTAGTAACATTTTTCATTTTTACTTAACACAACACTTAATAAGCCGATTTAGATATATGAGACGATTTTATAATAATTTATCAACTCTAAAACTAGATCTCTTTTAATAATATATAAATATATTACCTCTTTTAGAAATCTAGCATAATTTCCCAAAATGAGTGAGTTTCCAGGATTAGCCTGAATCATAGTCTGATAATACAAATCAGTATTTTCTCCACTACCATGATTCGAATCCCAATTTCCAAACCCAAACCCATTTCGACGGTCGGATCCTCCGCCATTTCCCAACCCACTTCCATCACAATCTCTCTCCTCCACGTCATCATCTTCTTCTTCCTCAACCACTCTTTCTCTTAAACCCAACCCACTATTCATCAACAACCTCGAACCCGATCCCGAACCCGGCCCAGACTCTGACCCGATACCCGACCCAAACGGGTTAGGCTTGGGTGAAACGGCAGTGAGATGACGTAGATCGGATTCGGAAGAAGCTCGGATCATTCTAGAAAAACAAGACGACGTCGTAACGGAGAGGCAAGATTTGGGTTCGGGCGAAGAAGAAGTGGATGACCCGGATGAAGTATGGGTCGGGCCCCATGAATTTAGAAGTGGTGTTGATGAACTTCGTAGTAGCATTTTTATTTTATTTTTTTGGAGAGAAAAATGGAAGGTTGATTTTATTTTTGGGAGTGTGAATTTATTTCTAGTTTGGCAATGATAATAAGAAGAGAGAGAAGGAATGATTAAATAGGGAAAATAGGAAAAATCGTGTGCGTTGATTTTATAGGAACGGGGTAGGAAATAATGGACGGAATGAACGGTGGTGAGTGTGATGAGTTCTGAGTTCTGACTCGTACACCTTCCGTCTCAATTTACTTGTCCGATTGCTTCAAAAAAATAATGTTACGGAACACCTCTTTAATTTTTGTGTGGTGAATTTTTCTCTTCTTTCTTTCTATTTAATGTAAGGTAAATCTTACCGATAGGGGAGTAATGGAGTATGTAGTAATTTATAATGGATGAAGAAGTTTTTTTAATTCCGCTTTTTAATCTTTAATTTTCTCATTCCTTAAAAATCTCTTACCAAGTGGGAGGAATACTTATTAAGTAACGATGTACAGAGTTTTTATTTTGTAGGTATATTTGAGGTCTAAAGATAAATGATTTTATGATTAACACAGTTCTTGTTTCCAATACTTACCAATGTTTTTATATATGGGAATTCTTTAAATTAAGGATAGATAAAATATCTACAATTTGTGTATTTATTTATTTCTTGAGACATTGGACTTGGTAACAAATTAACAAAAAGTCAAACATATTAATTAATTATAAATGAATGGAGTAACATTAAGATTTAAAAAGCCTTTTTCACAAGGGAAATACCTAGTGTAAATGTTTTTGTGTGAGGTTCAAACTCTAAAAAAAACTCCGTATATTAGAATCTCAAAAGGTCGTACAGTAAAAGCACGTGTGTGGTATGGAATGAAGTAAGAAGGTAGATCACCATTTTTGCCTTTTTCTTAGGTAGGGTTGTCTCTATTTGTTGATGAATTATGAATGAAGTATGGCCTAGTATAACAATCCATATTCATAATTCAGTGTAGTACAGGCGTACAGCAATTTGTTATTGACACTTATTGTTATGTTATGACTAGAAGACCAACACCGCAGAAATTATACACGGCCTTAGTTGACGCACTACAACTTTACAAGTGACGTCATTATTCTTTCATTTTGCTATTTTCTTTTTTTTTTTAAAAATCTTTTTCTCCATATTTATATTTTAATTGTACAATTGATTCTTTTTTTATTTTTCAAATTTTTTTTTTTTTTTTTTTTTTTTTTTTATTTGGGGTCTTAGACTCTTAGGTGGTCAAAGACCTTATGGCCTTGTAGAGGTAGGGGTAGGGCCACTAACACAATACAACAAAGACGTAACTTTAGCTGTCCAATTTACTACTAGTCGTGATTTACGCTCTTAATTATAAGGAAATTTTGTAAAAAAACCACCTTTTATAAGCATTTTTTTGCAAGAAACCACCTTATAAATTTTTTCTTTTGCAATAACACACCTTAATCAAATTTTTTTTTTTGCAAATCAATACCTTTATGTCGGAAAATGAGGTTTGACCTCATTTTCCGGCGTTGACTACCCCAATCTACCCACGAAACCACCTCTCTCCCCAGCCCCACCCACGAAACCACCTCCCTCCTAAGCCCCACCCACAAAACCACCATTTCACGACGTTGACCACCATAAACACACCCCCTTTTACGGCGTTGACCACCCTAAACACACCACTTTAACGACGTTGACCACTCTAAACCCTCCTCTATAGCCCTAGCCACCCTTCTCCCCTCCACTATTAGTTTCGTGGGTGCAAATGGCGTAGTCGACGCCGGAAAATAGGGTTTGACTCTATTTTCCGGCATAAAGGTATGGTTTTGCAAAAAAATATGATTAAGGTGTGTCTTTGCAAAAAAAAGTTATAAGGTGGTTTCTTGCAAAAACATGCTTATAAAAGGTATTTTTTTGTAAAATTTCCTAATTATAATTTGTACAAATGAAAGTTTTTGAGGTTATCCAATCAATTATGGGCTATTTGGTTGAACTTTTTCATTGTTTTATTTATTTGATTGGGCTATTTAACTATGAAAAGCTCATATTTGCAGGATTCTAACTCCATCGCATTGTCTTGAAGTCTCACTCACCCCCCCCCCCTCTCAAGGATTCATAATTCATTCCATGCCACCTAAGTATGAGAATCCATATTAATTCATTCCTGTTTAGTGAATTAAACGACCCTTAAATTTATATTGTCGAATTCTACCTTCCAATTGTGAAATAAAGCTACTCAATAACAAACAATTTTAGTTGAGACTTGAGAGGAAGTTAGATGTCAATCATGTCATTGATAATGTTCCTTTTATCGTTTTGTCCTTATAATCATTTGTGTTTTTCACTATCTTATAAAACAATTTTTTAATACTCCAACTACACTACTTACATTTTATTTTATTTAAGTCAATTAAATTGTCTAAAACTATATGATGGTCAAAGTGTAACTCATATTAAAACACAGAAGGAGTAATTATATATTGTATTAGTGAAAAATACAGAGTATAAAATTGATATTTTGATTATATATGTTCATTTATACAAATACTTTCCTTCGCCTTTTCTAAGTGAATCACTTTGACCAACACACATATTAATTCACAACTTTAAATACTAATATTTGATGAGCCATTAGTAAAAAGAATAAAAAGTTATGCTGATACTATGAAAATATGTATTGTGAATTTGTGACTAATTTAAAATATTTTACATATTTTTAAAAAAAAATATACAGCGTATATTATTAATAATACTTTATCAAAATTAGTACAGATATATAAATAGTGCAAAAGTCAAAATAATTTCGAAAGTGTTTTGTTTCTACTAAATAAAAAAAATAAAATATAATCACTCAACAGTGAAGTCCATATCAAATTCCTTACAATTATTGGCACATTTAAGTGTTGTAAGTGTCAAAGATGAAATGCCAAAAGTTATGGAATGGTCTATATTTTCTAGGTCATGGCCCTCTATTATTTATGAGCTTTTTTCTTCACGTGAATTGAAAATCTTGACCGTACGATAGGCTTTATTGTTGCTCTTTAACGTGCAAGATTTTAGCATGCTATGTGAAAAATCCTATCAAACGGCCCAAATCTAATTATATCATGTGATTTGTATCTTTCCCAATATAAATTCACCAAACTATAATAAATTATGAAAGCTGCTTTCAATCTTCCTTCATAACTTCATAGCAACTTCTCTAATTGGCTTTGGTCCCTCATCAACTATCCTTTCTTATGAAGTATGATGCCCCAATATCCTTTCTTATGAAGTATGATGCCCCATACCCATTTTTCTTACAAGTATATATATATTTTTAAACATGTTTTTTATTTTACATTTATTGATTCATAATTTCAATGATTTATACATTTAATTATTAATAGTTGTCAACAAGTAAAATTGAATTCGTATTCAAAAAAAAAAAAGGTAAAATTGAAGCTTTTTTTTAAGCTGAATCTAATAAATTTTCATGTGATTATTATACTTTATACTAACAATTTTAAATCACAAAAAACTAATCATAATATTGTTTATCATTTGTGATGTCTAAACTCTAGAGTTGTAGTGAAAATTTCACAAATGTAAGGATCTGTTCTGATTTACTGAACTAAACTGAATATATCGAGATGAAATGAATTGTTTATGAGATAAGGAAATTAGGAACTGAACTGATTGAAGTTGAAATGAAGTGAACTAAAATTAAGCCGAAGATAACAAATTTGACCTATAAGTTACGTTTAGATTTTTTTATGAAATGTTGCTTGACCTAGTTTAATACGAAGTACTTGAAACACATCACAATTACTGCTTTAAATCGAGGTATTGCTAAATTATTCTAATTCACATCATTCACCCATATAAACAACTATGTTCACTCTACATTACTCATCGTGAAAATAATAATTTTTTTTTGTTATTATAATATTAATGCATCATGCATACTCTCGATTAAACATTTAAACTCAATTGACTTTTAAAACACAAGGAAAATTTGTCAATTGCAGTCATTTAAAATTTGTATTTTGTAAATTGTTGTCATTAAAAAAAATTGCAAATTGCAGCCCAAAAGTTCTTATAAATTGGAAATTGCGCTTGTATCAACTTTTTTTTATCGGTTTACGTGTCGAAAAATATTCGGTTAAGGTTTTAAGGGCCATTTTAGCTCTTAAGCGTCCGAATTGAGCTCGGAATACGCAAAAAAATAACGCAAGTGCCTCATTTGTGTTGCAAAAATGTATCTATTTGTGGACAATAATAGTTTGTTGTAAAAACGAGGCACTTACATTAATTGTTTGCTAATTTTGAGCTTCCTTCGAATCCTTAAGATATAAAATGACCCCCAGAACCTTAACTGAATATCTTTCGCAACGTAAACCGATGAAAAAGTTGATCGGGTTGTAATTTGCAATTTTTTTAAAAGAAGAGTTTTGATTCGCAAAATACTAACTTTTTAAATGTTTGTAATTTGCAAATTCTCCAAAACATAAATGAAGGGAGTATAAGAGCAATGGCAAGCTAATTTGACAATTATCAAATTAGCTTTCCATGCCACACAAGCTTTTTATCTAATTATCAATTTAGCTACTTTTTGCTTCAATGGCTAGCTATTGGACCTCCTAGAATCGGGAGGGAAGCTCTAACCACTTGAGTTATCCCTCACTCTTATCAATCACTTTCACTTTACATAAACATTGCTGGCGACTTGTATTTATAGGTGCTGAGAAAAAGATGGGCGATTTTCTCAAAATGTCAAAGTACTAAAAATACCCTTAAAATTTATCATAAATTACGAATCTTACCAATGATTCTATTTCAGTGGCTCTCTATAACAGTTGATTTGTCAGTAAAGATTTTTTTAATTTAATGAAAATTTTTAGTTTGTCGGGCCCACATAGCATATAGTACAGCTGGAAATCACATTATGGGGGCCCACAGTGATATCAGTTGCACGGTGATCATCAGCCCAAAATCAAATGATTGGCTTCAATTTAATATAATATTCAGTTTTATTCAGTCCGTATTATACGAAATAACGGAAGTACTGTATTAATGTGTATTCAACACTTTTGTACGGACAATATACGCAGTATTTCTTATAGTAGGAGTATAATTTAGGAAAAGTTGCAAATTGCAGCCATTTAAAGTTCTTATTTTGCAAATTGTAGCCTAAAATTTCATATAAATTATAAATTGCAGCCCGATTCAACTTTTTCATTGGTTTACAAGTTGAAAAATCTTCAATTAAGGTTTTAGGGGCCATTTTAGTCCTTAGTGTTCCGAATTGAGCTCGGAATTAGCAAAAAAATAAT